AAACATATAGGCCTACCACGACTTGTTCTTACAACCCAAAAATGTCCCAAGAACAAAAACCATGTTCGTATAACACAAGCCATGTGTGATAACAACAACAGTCTCAGCCAGAAATGTTCCAAGACCATTCCGGGCAGACCACAAAAGGTTCTCAGAACATTCCTTTGGTGGGTCTATAGGCGAGCCTGGACGCCTCGCCACTGCTCGAGTTCCCCGCCCCACACGAGTGCCTCGGCGTGGCGATCGGGCATCCGACAGGATCTTGCACCACAGATCCAGGACCTGGAAGGGATAGGGGGCCACATGCGAACCCTACCCCTACCCCCCACGATTTCTGAGGGGGAGGGTGGGGTTCGCATGTGGCCCCCGAAGGGAAGATCCCTCGGGTTGGCCACGAGCCTCGACCGTCGAACTTCGATCGATCCCTCATGCCGAAGTCTACCAGCACGGGCTGCTCGCTGACACAGGGGGGGGGAGCAGCAAAGGGGGGGGCGGGGAAGGAGCGCGCATCTCGCGCAAAAGAGCCTTCCGGACCCGCGGCTGCAACCCAGGGGCCGCTCGGGGCCCCCTTCGGCGCCACGCTCCTGCACCCCATCGCCCCCCCCCCCGGGCCTCCTGCCTCCCCCCGCTGTGTGCCGCGGCTCGGGCGAGCCTCGCCCGTCGAACCCCGACCGCTTCACTGCCAAAGTCTGCCCCGCCGCGGCGGCGGCGCCCAGGCCAGGCCCCCTTCTCGGGCACTGAATGCTACTGTTTGACCGATCCCCGTCCCCATTTCAAGGAGGGGATCGACTAAGACATTCAGTTGCCCCGAAACTAATGTTCCCGTCGAGCGTGCAAAACAAATGATCGTATACCTAAGAGTGTGATACGGATTTTTCGTAGATTCGACGAACACATAAGTTTTGTGGGTCAATCAATTCTGTAGTCGATCCCCTACTCGACCATTGGTGTGGCCTAGGCCCCACTGGCCGATTGGCCCACCGAGGTTGGGACGTCTACGCTGTTTTCGCCAACATTCGTGGGGCCTATCTCGACCTGCGGGGGGGGGCTGGTGGGGCTGGGACACCGTGGCTCCGTTGGGGTGGAGATAGCTGTGGCGATGCCGAATAGAGGTAACCACATGTGAACTCTGCCCCAGCACGTCAGATTTCAGAAACACCGGCTGGGATTCCGGGTTTCGGGTCATGCAACTCGGTTCTACGGAGGCCGTTCGAGACGATCCAAGCACCCCTGGAACGCCCTCGACGAGGCGCAGCCGATGAAGGCATCCCGAGGCCAGAAAATCGCCGAGAACCGACGAAAACCCGAAAAACTCAGACATCGAACCCCGATTCCAAGAAAACAGCCAAGTGAACCCCAGCGGGGGTGTCCGATACTCCAGCGTCGATTAGACCTGTCATTAGAGGTAGGGCTTGCCAAAGGTACCCATACCGCTACTCTACTCTCCCGACCTCTCCCGGTCTGCGTTTTGGAAAGAACTTCGAAGCGATGAGGGCCTCACAGGAGGCCTAAAAAGCCTAAAGCGAGGCAAGCGTAGCGGTACAATAACCTTGTCCCTTCTGATGTTGGAAACGTAGGGATTGGACCCGCAGGTAAGACGAAGACAGGGCAGGGACAAAATCGGACAGGGATAAATCCGACGACCCTGTCGGCGTGTGCGAGGGGTTTCTCCGTTCGAGTTCTCGTCTCCGTCGTCTCCTCGTCGTCTTCATTGTCCCAATCGCTTCCTAGCCGTATCCGTCGTCCCCCGTTTTTTTCCGGCCCTCCTCGAGCTCAAGCGTGGCATCCAAAGCGAAATTGTACAACGTCGTATTGGAGTCCAAGGGAATCCCCTTCCCTTTGATCCCTTCCCCGCGGAGGGGGGGACCCGAGGGGGGGGTCCCGGGGGGGGGTCACCACCCAGATTCGTCTTCCCCCGGGCGGCCCCGACATATCGAACAGCCCCAAAAAGAATACAGAATGCCGAAGATAGTTCCCAAGATTGCCGACAAGAGCCCCGTGTCGCTCAAAGATCGGCCCAACACGGCAAAGATGGCCCCAAGACGATCCAAGAAGCCTGCTAGACGTCCCAGGATCTCTCCAAGAAAACCCCCACCAAGGCTCCAAGAGGCTCCTCTCCATCCTTCTCCTCCTCTCCCTCCTCCTCCTCCTCCTCCTCATCTGTCCCCCTACTCTTCCTCTTCCTGCTCCTTCTATTATTCCTCCTCCTCCTCCGCCTTCCTCTCCTCCTCTCCCTCCTCTTCACTATCATTCCTCTCTTGTTCCTCCTCATTGGTGTCCGTCCTCCTCTTCTTCCTGATTACCCTCCTCCTCCTCCTGACCTCCCTCTTCTTCCTATTCCTCGTCCTTCTCTTCCTCCCCCTTCTTTTCCTCCTCCTCGTCTTCAGGGTCGGCGGCACCAGCCGCAAGGCCTTCGCAATCGGAAATCTCTGACATCCTGCGGTTCTGAACGATGTATCGGGCGCCGCGGTCTTGCCTGGCCATCGCTCAGACGTCCATTTCCTGTGTTTTTTTCGGTTTCGTGCGTGGTTTTTTCGCGAACTGATCAAGGATGCTCCTCGATGATCCTCGCCGAGAAAAAATGCACACGTCCGAGCGATGCCAAGTTGTGAGGGCGCTCCGGAACGGTCTGAGAGTCCTGGGACGCACTGCAACGGATTTGTCCTTGCCGTAGCCCCGCCCGACAGAGGTAGTGAAAGGGAAGAAACCAGGGAGCGTGACCAAGACTGAAACGATGCAACCGAACCGATCAAACCGTGAGCACCCTTACGGACCATGACCAAGATTGGCTTCGACGAGATCCCGAGACATCTTGGCCAGCGCCGGTCCGTGGATCACCCCCGCGGACCGACGACGGCCGGCACGGACCGTGACCAAGCTTGGCGTCGACACGACCCCACGAATTCTTGGCCATGGCCCTTCTCCCCCTGCATTCCTTTTCATTATAAATAACTTCTCCCTGTCGCACCCCGATGCCCATTTTTAGGGCGGGCCTGGTGCTTCGCCTTAGACTTCCTCACCATGTACGAACCAGAAGCCCAAAAACTGACAACAGTTTCACAGATTGAGGGCGGGTGGTTTTCAAAATGTGGCTCTCGCCTCAGCGCCGCGCACGTTCGTCTTTTTATGCAAGAGCTTCACGGGTTTTGATCGCGGGTCGTTTTCAAAATGTGGCTCTCACCTCAGTGCGGCGTACATTCGTTTGAATACATTGCAGGAGCTCCGCGGATTGAGGGCGGTTCCTTTTCAGAATGTGACTCTCGCCTTAGCGCCGCGCACATTCGTTTTTGCAAGAAATGCAAGGGTTTCACTGATTGAGGGCGGTTCCTTTTCAGAATGTGGCTCTCGCCTTGGCGCCGCGCACATACGTTTTAAACAATTACAAGAGTTTCGCGGATTCCCATGGTCGACCTACCAGACATGGAGTTTTGGAAGGACTCACGGCTATGAGGGCGCAACAGTTACGATGAGTCGCCGTGTTGAAGTCCCAGGAATGGCGATGCACTCTGGCACGACTCGGGATCGCCAACACGCAACAGTCAGGTTTATCCGTGGCGTTAGAATATTGAAAATAATATTCTGGCATGCTCCAGAATCTTCAAACGAATATCTTCCAACGAGGCAGGTCCCTCTGTGGAAATGAACCGTTGTAGGGGCCTATGAAAAGGAAGCTTGGGGGAAGGTTTATTCCAACGTCGTTGGTGACTCTTTGGTTTACACTGGTTTTCCTCCTCCCCCTCCTCCTCCTCATCCTCCTCCTCTCATCCACCTTCTCCTCCTCCTCCTCCTCCTCGTCCTCCTCCCCCTCCTCCTCCTCCTCCTCCTCCTCCTTCTCCTCCTCCTCCTCGTTTTCCTCCTCCTCCTCCTCCTCCTGCTCCTCCTGCACCTCCTCCCCCTCCTCCCCCTCGAGGGGCCAGCCTCGCACGAGGCCGCAGAGCGGAGGACCGGTCGGTCCTCGGGCCGGTCGGCGGCCGCCTGCAGCGCCGCCCACGGGTCGTCGCCTCGGGCCCAGCGGGGCGGGAGGAGGAGGAGGAGGAGGAGGAGGAGGAGGAGGACCAGGAGGAGGGGCGTGCGTTTGTTCACCGTTTCTGAAGCAGCGCCCGTCGAAAAAGGAAACGAAAATAAAAACGGCACCTGGAAAATACAAACGGCGGTTGGAAACCGACAAACAAAACGGCTCCAGAACTGGAGCCGGGACCGGACAGCAGAAAAAACGGCGACGGAACCGAACAAAAAAAACGGCGCAAGAACCAGCAAGAGAAACGGCAAGACGGAACCAATAAAAAACTGCCCTTTCGTTTCCATCGGCAGCGAGCCCGGGGGGGAAGTGAGAAGGGGTGGGCCGTCTCTGAAGACTCGGAAGCAAGGTCCCCCAGCCGTCCGAGAAGTCTTCCCAGCCCCCCCCGAAGACACAGGAAGCTTCTCAGGAGGCCGCAGGCCCCCGTAGAAGCCCCGCCGCCTTTTCAAGAGGCCGGCCCACGCTCGGACGCCTAAGGCTTGGGGGTCGCAGCTCGTCCCTCTGGAGGCCCGACGGGGCGACCCCGGCACCCCGGGAACGCTCTCGGCGAGGCGCGGCCGCTGGGGCGCACCCCGGAGCGGGAACGCCGGCGAGAGCGGGCGAGAACGCCCGAAAACTTCGGACCTCCCGTCCCCCTCCCCCCGCCCGCCGCCGACTCCAGGGCCCGCCCGGGTTAGGTCGGGCATTTCATGTCCTCCTGCAGGCGGATGCTGGATGAAGACTTGAACACGGTCAAACAGACTCAAACAGAGCCAGATATAATAGTCGAAACATCGTCCCCGCATTACGGCGGGGGCAATTTTTCGCTCTTGAAGGGCCGCGAGGCCCGTGCGTCATGCACGACAAGTTCAAAGCACCATACCGTGCTTGCACAGGGCCAACAAGCAGGACCCCCGCGCGCCCCCCGCAGGTCCGCGAGCTAGGGGTACACAGCCCGCGCCCGCGCGGTCGCCGCGCGCACCGAGGCGCTAGAGCAGCCGCTTCACGGGTCGCGCGCCGAATGCGACCGCTCGAGCCAGCTTGTCTCCGCGCAGAAGGCCTTAATCAGGTCGTCTACGTCCTGCTCGCGCTGGCTTCGGCGCCGCTGCCGCGGATCTGCCACAGCCACGGCCTCGGCCTCGCCTGCGCAAGCGCTCATGGGCTCGCTCTCGGACTGCCGACCCGCTTCGGCCCTCTCGACCGTCGCGAAGCCGTCCGAGGCCAACGCGCCGTCCCGCCCAGAGCGAAGGAGGCCGCCCCAGGCCTTGACGGTGTCCATGAGCTTCGCCACGTGCCGGGTGGCGGCTGCGTCATGTGAGCGCCGGACAGACATGAGGCCCCGCAGTTCCTGGACCGAACTGCAAGAGCGAGAACCCTCCCGCACCTGCTCGGAAAACTGCAGGGTGCCACTGATGTTGGCGAGGGAACCCACGAACAGCTCTTTCAGCTCGTCCCATACGTCCTGGACTTGCTGCCGCACGCGCTGCTCCGCCAGCCGCCAGCCCGAAACCAGGCTCTCCCTGAAGGCCTCCACTTCGGCATGCTTGTCCACCAGCCAAACTCCTGGGGCCAGGCACTCGTTACACCGATCGCCTGGCCCATCGCCTGCACTTTTCGCCAGCGCGGCCGACCTGGCATCAGCTGCCGAGGATACGGCACGACCCTCGCCTGCCGCGGGCGCTTCCACGAAGCTGCCGCCGCCGAACACGCAGCCGTCGCCGTCCTCGTCAAGCGCCTGCACAGCCGCCCGCGCGAGCAGGTCCGCCTCAAGGTCCACCGCGTCCAGGCCCGTCGGGACCTCGGGAAGCGTGGTCGGCTCCTCGAGCTGTTCCGAGGCGCGGCCCCCGCTCAGCAAGGCGCCGTGCGGACAGGGGCGCCACGTCCTCGGGCAGGTTGGCGGCGTGTTGGGCGCATTGCGCACCAGCACCTGCCCAGGCCTCGCCCGCACCCCGATGACCCCCGCGACTACAGTAGGCCCGAGTGCAGCGCCGCACCCGTGCCCGTCGGGGCGGCCCAGCGCACGCCAGAGGCCCTGCTCCAGGGCAACGCGCCCGCGCCGCCTCGCCTCACGTCGAGGCGCAGAGGCCCCTAGCCGAGAGGCCTCCCCCCGACGACGATATCGCACGAGCCACTCCGCCTGCTGGTGGCGCCCCCCCGCAGCCAGATCCCAGTGTCCTCAAGCAGCACCTGCGCACCCAGACATGCGGACCGGCGCGGGCGAAAGGCAAGGGCCGACATGAGCCAAAATGGCTACGGACGGTGGGGGCATTGGATAAGGAACCCTTAGATAAGGAATCCAGGGTCTGGAAGCCCGTGGAACTCCAACTGATGTTTGGCCATGGACATCACCGTCACCCTCATCAGATAAGGAATCCTCCAGGGTCTGAAACCTCCTGTGCACATTCCTTCACGAACGCTCCCAGATTATTGGTTTGACTACTCTTGAACATGCCTCCTATAGAATGGACATGCCCACCTTGACGCCGGGGGCGTGCGCCGTCACGCGGCGGCCCACGCTTGAGCAAGGACCGACCGTCCCCGCTTTCTTACAGGCCTGCCGCGAACTGTTCTTAGAACCCAGCAGTGTTCTAATAATAAGAAGAAGAAGAAGAAGGAGAAGAAAAATAAGAATGATAAGAAAACAACAACAACAACAGCAACAACAACAACCATTTTAAGACTGTTCGCTCTGATTTGCTCCCGCGTCATTCAATATGCATATCCCAAACCCTGAATACCCGCCCTCTTCGTCTTCGATCGTACCCCCTATTGGAGGGTATATTCATTCGCTGCCACGCGTGGTTGCAGTATTTGTAGATCAATATATGTGGCGCACTATGTCTTGCACTCTATGTGGTGCGACCAGTGTTGTGCAATCTATGTAGTGCTACCTATGTGGTGCAACGCAAAGCAAAGCAACACAACGCAAGGCAACGCAATGCAAAGCAACGCAAAGCAAAACAATGCAACACAGTGTAACTTGCAATGCGCAGAAATGCAGATCCACGCAAGCAGTGAAGCGCAACGCACAGCAAAGGACCCAGACGACGGGCGGCGACGAGGCGGCGACGGGGCGACCACGGCGACTGAGTAGCCGCTGGAACGGCACACCGACCCAGACGACGGGCGGCGACGGCGGCAGCATAGCCGCCGGAACGGCACACCAGCCCAGACGACGGGCGGCGACGAGGCGGCGACGAGGCGGCGCCGGGCGGCGACGGCGGCAGCCTAGCTGCCAGAGCGGCATACCAGCCCAATTCCGTAGACCGGAAGTAAGAACCCAAGGGAACCGTCCAGATAACCTAAGGATACGTGTAATCTCTATACCGCACGCACCTTCCCTTTCCCTCTCCCCTCTTGCTCCTCCCCTCCGTCTCACCTCCCTCCCCTGTATCGCACCTTGCCCACACTCTTGCCCAACTCTCTCCGCCCTCCTCCCTGTCCCAAGACGGCTTGCAACCGCTTTCCGCCCCCTCCCCCAGGCCATCCACAGCGACGGCACAAGCGAAAACCGATCGAACCGACAGCAAAGCCAAAACCGACCGAAGCCGTCAGGCCGCAAGCAGCCCAGAGGGTCGCAGCGACGCGGCAACGACCCAGCAGCCTGCATCACCGGATCGACCGAGCGCAATTGACTGCGACGAGGCCGAACCGACCGCCCGTGCTGACATGCCCGGGGCTCCGCGAGCAGCGATTCCTTCTGAGCCGTTTTGTGGGCCGGCCCAGGGCCCCAAGAGCCCGACGGCAGCGGCGAGAAGGCTTCCGCGAACCGTTGCCCTGCGGGAGCAGGGACTGGCGACACGACCACCAGCAGCGCGACGCGCCAGGGAGGGCTCCCCTGGACGCGCCAAGGCGCCATCCTGCTGGCTCTTGCGGATCGACGCTGGTCGACGCCAATCGAGGCTAGATCGACGCTGATCGACGCTAGTTCGGCGTTGTGCCACCGATTACCCGACGCTCGCCGACGCTCGCCGACGCTCCAAAGGCGGAGTCACGAGGCTCGCCATCGCTTGGACGCCCACTCCCCGTGCATTTGTCGGTTTCGTGCGTGCTTTCTTTGTCCGGTGATCCAGGATGCTCCTCGATGGCCCTCGCCGAGTGAAGACTGCACACGCCCGAGCCTGCCAGGGAGGGCACGCGAGGCTCCCTTGACTTGCCACCGGACCCGTCTGGTCTAGGGCCGCCGCATCTCGCCGCGGTCTCGGAGAGCACGGAGGCGGCCGCGGCCATGGCGGACCAGTCTTCGGCCTGAGGGCCGGGCGGAGGGCGAAGCATCGTGGGGGAACGCGGGCGGGGGAGACGGGGAGTGGAGGAGGCAACGTTGGGACGCCCAGCACGGAGTTCGACACGGAACTCGTCCACACGGGGCCCCAAGGCGGCCCCCGTGCTGGACCAGCACGTAACACGTTTCGACCCGGTACGCTTCGGACACGGGACCTGGTGCGCATCGACCCGGGCGTCTCGAGACAGCTGAGGATTGGGAGCTGTAAGTTGCTGGGGGAGGGCCCGCTCTCCGGGGGCCGCCGGATCCAGGTCTGCCACCTTCCCGGCGGGCCCGCGCGTGGCGGCAAGCTGCTGGGCAAGCCGGGCGCCGCTCTGGCCTTGGGGCACAGAAGGTTCGGCACGGGATCTCTTGGCGCGCACCCTCTCGACGCAGAGGCGGGGGCTGCGGAGGCGGAGCCTCGCGCAGGCGCCAGAACACGTAGCAGGTTGGGCGGCAGCTCCCGGGGGCGTCTTCGAACGAGCCATTGGGTGCGATATGGAGCCCGACCGCGGGGCCCTCAAGCCCGGTGAGGCCGCATTGAGCCCAACATTAGGCGGGGCTTAGTGGTCTTGCAAGGGGCTGGGCCGGATTCGGCCTCTTCTCGACCGCGGATGTACCAGTGCCGATGCTGAACTGAACCTCCCAGGAGCTGCATCCGAAGGAACTGCGGGGAAGGAGGGCAGCGATGGTCCCAGAGCAAGGCCGTTGAGATGGCTCTGCTCATGGCAAGCACCACCTAGGCCGCCGTGCTGGTGTGCCAGAAGGGGGAGGGTCGGCCGCGGTGCTGGTGTGCCAGAAGAGGGAGGGGAGGTGGCGCGTGCGCGGATTCCCGTCCCTGTGCCTCATCTCCCAGATGGCCCAGACAGGAGGGGGAAGACTTTTCTGGGCCCAGCCTGGCGCTACAACAGCTGCATGCCGCCACTGCGCGAGCGGGAGGAGGGTGACAAGAGGACCATGTCTAGAAGAAGAAAAGCCATGTACATAAACTTTTGGCGCTCCGCGCGGATCTCTTGGATCCGCGATGGACCCCCTCCCTGGCGCGCGGAGCGCGCCAGGGGCGGCGCTGGAGGCGTCGCCTGGGGGGCTCAGCGCGGATCCAAGAAATCCGCGAGGAGCGCCAAAAGCTCATGTTTATGGCATGTGTTCTTCTTCGGCGGTGGACAAACCTCCCTTTAGTGAACCTCCCTGCAGTGAAAACGGCCTAGGACCGAAACCGACGGACCTGGACCCGCAAGAATGACGGCCGCGACGCCCTCTCGCGAACCGAGAACGGCCAATTCCTGAATCGACGTGTCAGGGTAGGAGGTCTATCAACCTCCGATTCTCCGAGTGTCGGACGTGAGGAGGGAGTGGCCGAGCGCGGCCCGAGCCGCTCCCTCTGTGACGAGCCTCGTCTGGGACGACCTCTCGCCCTCGAGGCTCCGGCCGCCTGCTCGCGTCTTCGAGCGCGGCGAGGAGGCCTCCACAGAAAGGGCCGGTCTGCCAGGGGCCGGTCGGGCCACCACGGAAAAGAGAACGGGGGAAAGAGGGGGGGAGGGACAGAAGAGGCTCCATGTGCGCGAGGCGTGAGGGGGGGGGGGGCACGCCCGAGGCCCAGCACCAGCGGGCAAAAGCGAGGGGTGACGAACGAACAACACACACCCATACCCATAGGGGGGTCGAGGGGAGGAGGACTGGCTATGGGTATGGGTGCGGGTTGTCGGACCCTGGGGAACGCTCCCGTTCGAGCGGGGACCCCCATCCGACAACACGCACCCATAGCCCTCTCCGACCCCCCTATAGATATGGCCATGCAAGCATCGTCCCGTATCGGATCGTCTGAACATCGCAATCGGATCGGGCCAGTCGGAATTGATATCAAATTATCGATCAGGTCAGAGTATAGCCTGAGATGTCAGATAACGCACGAGCGCACCTGGTCATAATCATCAGCATCATCAGCATCATCATCACCATCACCATCACCATCACCGTCACCATCACCATCACAATCATAAAGAGCATCATTATCACAATAATCAAAAGCATCATCATCATGATCACCATCACCACCTTCATCACCATCGATATCACCAGCATTATCATCACCATCATCATCAGCATCATCATAATCACCATCACCATCATTGTCATCAACATCATCATCATGATCATCACCTCCATCATCATGATCATCAACATCGTGCCCCTCATCTTTATCCTCCAGCCCCTCCTCCCCACCTGCTCCTCTTACCCTAGTCTCTCTGCTACTTCTCATTCTCCCTCATCCCTCCGACCTCCTCCTCCTATTCCTCCTCCTCTTCCTCCTCCTCCCCCCCCCCTCCTCCTCCTCCTCCTCCTCCTCCTCCTCCTCCTCCTCGTCCTCCTCCTCCTCCTCCTCGTCCTCCTCCTCCTCCTCCTCCTCCTCCTTATTCCCCCACCCCACTGTGGAGGTGGCCGAGGAAATAGCAGCAAGAGAGGGAAGCCGTGGCAAGCAGTCCGCGCGCCCCCCCCCTCCCCCCCAGACAGGTACGCGCCCGGAAACGGCCGAACAGCAGGAAGGGAGGCCCCAGCCAGGCGGCGACATGCGAGCCCTACCCCCGCAGACCATCATTTCTCCCAAATCGATGGGAGGCGGGGGTAGGGTGCACGGTTTCCCCCGGGGCCGTAGGCGACCCGAGGAGGAGGAGGAGGAGGAGGAGGAGGAGGAGGAGAAGGAGGCGGAGGAGGAGGAGGACGAGGAGGAGGGAGGAGGAGGGAGGAGGGAGCAGGAGGAGGAGGAGGAGGAGGAGCAGGAGGAGGAGGAGGGGTCGCCTAAGCCCTTCGGAGAAACCCTCCAGGGTAGGGTT